GGGCTCAGGTCACGCGGTCCGACTGGGGCAGAGCCTGCGCTCAAACCCAGGGCTCCCGGCTACCACGGGGGGCGGGGGGCACCCCCTCGTCCATTCCACGCCTGAGCCTCTGGTCACTTACCCGCTTGGAGGAGATTTGCATGCTGGTGACAGCGGCGGAGTCCTGGGAGGGAGAAGGGTGCTGGGACTGGGGCTGAGGGGAGGGGGTACCCGGATGGCAGGCTAGGCCTCACCTCGAACACCTGCAGCTCCTCCAGGAGCAGCCCCTCGTCGCTGGGCCGGCCGCCCGTGGGGACGGCGATCACCTTCAGCACGGTGCCCGTGTCTGCGGGCGAGGGGGGCCTGTGTCCCTGACAGCAGCCGGCCTCTTCCCCCCCCCCCCCGGGTTTCGGGGGGACAGCCTGAGAGCCGGGGCACAGCCCGGGAAAGGCGGGAGGGCTGGCCAGGAGCCTGACCTGTGCCGATGAACAGCACGTCATAGTGGCCGTCCGCAGCTGCCACTCGGTCCGCGGCGACCCGGGTGAAGGTGTGCCCCGCACCCACTCGCAGGAAGAGCGGGCGCCCCCCGACGGGCAGGATGGAGCTGTACATGAGCGGGTGGTTCCGGGCGAACTGGATGACGTCGTCGGGGAAGTCTTTGGTGGAGCTGAAGGTGCCGAACGTCTTGCTGGGGCACTGGGGGTGGAGGCGGCGGACGGGGTGTGAGGGCCCGGGGACAGCCTCCACAGAGGCCCCAGCCCGAGTGTGTGTGTGTGGGAGGGGCCAGGGGGGCTGGACAGAGGCCCCAGCCCGAGTGTGTGTGTGTGTTGAGGGGGGGGGGGGCTGGCAGAGCCCCGCCTGGGTATCTGGGGAGGAGACACGGCCTTCCCTGGAGAAGCCCCATCTGATAACGTGACTTCCCCCCGTAACACAAGGCAGAAGCCACACTGAACCAGAGACCCCAGGCTGCGTCTGCACCCAGAGGCAGTGAGGGGGGGGGTCCCCGGGGATGTACCATGCCGGGCCGGGGGTACGGGACGCGGCCCTGGTAGGACACCCACTGGTGCGTGGGCCCCTCCTTGTGAGCGAAGGGCCCCAGGAAGGCGCGGCGCACGTCGCTCATGCTGTACACGCACACGGCCGAGCCCTGGAACACGCCGCTGCGGGAGGGAGGAGAGAGGGTGACGGCCCGCGGAGCCAGGCGCCCGCCCCCCGCCCGGCCCTCACCTGGACGTGAAGACGGCGTAGAGCAGCGGGTTCCAGCGGTCCCTGGAGGGCAGCAGGAACACGTCCTCTGCGGGACGGGCCGTTGGAGAGGGCGCTCAGCAGAGGGCGCTCAGCCCGGCCGGCCCGCCAGGCCCCGGGCCTGTGCCCGCACCCCCCTCCCGCCCGCACTCACGGAGCTGGTCGAAGTGTGCGTCCCCCTCGGTGCCTGGCACGGAGCACACCAGCCTGGCCTTCAGGAACGTGGTCCACTTGTTGACCAGGCTGCGCTGGCCGCCCAGGTCGTTCTGTGGGGCCGGTGGGAGGGGATGAGGCCGCGCCCGAGGGCAGCGGGCGGCGCGGGGCCGAGGACGGGCTCCGGGCTCCTCACCCGGCAGATCTGGCCGACGCGGGACACGCAGCGGCGGCCCAGGGCCGGCGAGGCCTCCACAGCCGACTCGCGGAAGAAGAAGTAGATCTTGTCGTCGTCCGGGTTCTCGCTCTCCGGGACCCAGAAGACCTTCACGAACTTGGGCTCTGGCGGCGGGAAGAGGTGAGGGGTCAGCGCGGGCCGAGCATCTGAGAGTCCGGCCTCTGGGACCACGTTCGGATGGTGCCCACTGGGCAGAGTCCTGAAGAGCAGGGCCTGCGAGTCCAGAAGCAGCCACCAGAGGGCAGCAGAGGCCGGGCCACCTGGGCAAGCAGGAAGCGGGATGCCCGCCAGCGGTAGTCCTCTGGGGGGTTCCCCAGGCCCGTGGTTTGAGAAAGGATGGAGATGGGGTCTCCGGTTTTACCTTCCCTCACGAATCTTATTCTCTAGCAGGAAGCAGAGGCCCCACGCTAGTTGCAAACACTCTGCCGGGTCCCATCCCTCTGAGTCAACCACCCTGGCCCTTGTCATTGCTCTCAGAAATCTGCTCCTCGCTAGTCCCTGCCCCAGGACCTTTGCACTGCTTGCGCCCTCTTCTCGGAATGCTCTTCCCGCAGTCCTAGGGGTTAGCTCACACCATGCTCAGTGGAGTGGCTTCCTTCATCCGACCTCCTCACCTTTCCCTCCTCCTTGAGCTCTGATTGGTCCGGGACCACTGACGGGGTCGATGTGATTGTGGGAGGGGGTCTGTGATACCGGCCTAGCCTTCCCCGCGGGGCCTGCCACGTGGCAGTGTTTGGTGAGACCTGGCTGCCTCGGTTGCTCACCTCTTCTGTGGGCCTTCCTCAGCACCTGCCCTGATGGGGATGAGGGTCCCCTCCCGCCCCCCCTGCCCCCACCCCTCACCATTGAGCCAGCGGGAGTCGTGGGGCTCCGTCCGGAGGCTCGGCCGCTGGCCCAGGCTGCGGAAGATGGTGAAGTCCCGGCCCATGAGGTCTGCGGCCACCCCGGAATACAGCTCGCCCCCTGCAGACGGCCGGGGCTCAGCCACGCGGAAGGCGCTCGGCTGGGGGCTCGTGGGGGGCCCTGGGGCTGGGGGGGGCTTGGGGCTGGGTGAGGCCCCGGGGTCTGCTGGACTCACCCAGCAGCACGGAGGCGGCGCGGTGCTGGGGGTCGTAAGGGCTCTTGCCCTTGCCATCCTCCAGCCGCCGGGGGTCCAGGCGGAGCACGGGCTCCTGGGGGGCGGAATGAGGGGTGTCACTGCCAGGCCCCCTCCCCCCCCTGCCCCTCCCGGCTCTGCCTTACCTCGGGCCGGTGGCCCACCTCCAGGAAGGCACAGGTGGGGTGGAAGGCGCCGGTGCCGCAGGCCAGCACGTGGGAGCGGTTGTAGGCGTGCAGCAGCTTCACGAAGTTCATGCACTCCGTCTAGCGGGCGGCCGGCGGGGGGACGGTGAGGACCCCCCCGGAGGCGGCCTCCAGGGCACCCCGCCTCTTCCTTTCCTTTGCATCAGCTCAGGCAAGCACCAAGTGGGCTCCAGGGACCTGCGGGTGACCGGCCAGCCCAGCCCCCTCCCCCCAGAATGGACGCCCGGGGAGCAAAGGTCCGAGTGGGCCCCTGTGACTCAGGCCCCCAAGTATCACATGAGCCCCCTCCCTGACTCACCACCTCCCGCCGCAGCCCCCTCAGACCCCCCCCCCATCCCCAGCAACAGACAGGCCTCTGTCCGCGCCGCCCACCGTGCGCGGGGTGACCGCCTGCCCCCGCAGCCGGCACTCACCCCAATGTCCTTCCCGGCCCAGTTGCACTCCTCACGCCACTCCACGGGCGCCGGCCAGGCCAGCTGGGGGGGGAGGGCACAGGTCAGGGCCCCGTGCTCGCGTGGGGGTCACTCCGCCCCCCCCGCCCGGGCGAGCCGGGCCCACCTTCCGGGGCCGCTTGCCGATGTGGTCCAGGCTCAGGGAGGCCACGTGGTTCTCGGCGCCCACGAACAGGCGCCCGCGCTCCTCGTCCACCAGCAGCGCCTCGTAGCAGCAGGTCCTGGGCAGCCGGAAGGTCCGCAGCCCGTGCTGGGCCTGCAGCTCTGCGGGGGGGGGGGGCCCTGAGGACTCGGCGCCCCCCCCCGGCCGTCTGTCCTCTCTCAGGCCCACACGCACGTGAATCCACACGCACGTGAGCTCACAGCGCGAAGGCCCACCCAGGCGCAGGCTCCCAGGTGGGCAGTGCACCCCCGCGCCCGAGGGGAAGGCGCTGACGGCCGTCCCGGCAGCGCGTGGGGGGCCGGGCCCGGGGGCCGGAGCCGCCTCCCCAGTCAAGTGCGGGCTCTGCTCTGTGCCTAGCAACCGCTCCCGGGCAGGAGCAGGGAAGGGGGCCCCACGGCCCCACATCCCAGCTTCCCTGCGATCCGATGGCACAGAGGCAGCACCTGTTGCCATGGAGACCGGGGTCTTCCTGGGAGAGCGGAGGGGCTGGGAGTGGGGCCGGGCAGGGTGAGCTGGTGCCGGCCTGGGAGGCCCCGATCCCGGCGCAGGTGGCCCCCGGGTCAGGTGGCACAGCGCACGCCCGCCCCGGCCCCGGCCCGTGCCCCGGCCCGCCCGCCAGGTGCACCCACCTCGGAAGGAGAAGCGGAGGCGGGGCGGGCTCGGGGAGGCCGCCCCCAGCACGGCCGTCCCCAGCAGGACCAGGGCCGCGATCATGGCGGCCCGCCCGCCGGCCGGCCGGCCGGGCGCTCAGGGTGCAGCGGGCGCGGGCCGGGAGAGCCTGTGCGAGGAGCCTTGAGCCGCCCTGGACTCTGCCCCGGGATCTGGAAGAGGAGTCGGAGGAGGGCGCAGGCTGGGGCGGCGCCCGGAGCCCCGGATCAGGTTACACCCGGGCAGGCGGCGGGGGCGCGTCCCGCTCCGAGCCCTCCCCCCGAGGGTGCCCGCCCGGCCACAGCCACAGGCACACCACGCGGCACACCCGGGTCACCCACACGGCAGCACCCGCCCCACCACGTCACCGCCCGAAACCGCCCTCCCGGCCGCGCTCCCAGCGCGCACTCACACCCGGGCTGCTTCCCGCCAGCGGGGACGTGGCCGGGGACGGGGGACACAGGCCAGGCCCCGTGCCCCGGGGACGGGGTCTGAGGGAAGGTCAGAGGGGCCGCTGCCTGTTGGAGGGGCTCAGGCGGCTGTGCCCACAGCCAGGGACGGCCTCTGGGGCCGGGCGCCAGGGGTGCGGGCGCCCATGAGTGTGGATGCTCCTGAGGGTCCCTCTGTGTGTCTGCTCCGCACGTGTGTGTGGCGTGTGTACACGCACGAGGCCACGTGGCATGGGCGTTTATCACATGTAGATGAGTGGCGTGCATGTGTGTGCACACGGCATTGTCTGCCTCTTTATGTGGCGTGCGTCTGCGGGGTGCATGCACTTCATGGATGTGTCTGTAGTAGGTGTGTCACAAGTGTGTGCACGTGTGTGCGTGTCTGTCTGGACACGCAGGTGAGCAAAAGCACCCGCAGCCCACCCCTGCCTTCAACCGGAGGAGCCCCAGGGCTGGCAGAAGCCTGGGCGTAGCCAGACTGCAGGGATGGGGGCGCTGGGGTGGGGGCCTGCCGCTGGGATGGGGGGCCGCTGGGTCAGGATTACTGCATGGAGGGAGCAGCCGGCTGAGCTGGCCTCCCCGCCCAGAAGCGGACTGGGCTGGTCACACAGAAACTCTGAGCTCAGACTCAGACCCAGGAGGGACGGAGAGGGAGAGCCAAGGCCGGAGGAGGCAGGCTCTCCCCAGCGAGGGCAGCCCTGGGTCCCCCAGAGCCCGCCTCCGCCGCCTCAGCCCTGGGTCCCCCGGAGCCCCTCCCCCGCCTCAGCCCTGGGTCCCCCGGAGCCCCTCCCCCGCCTCAGCCCTGGGTCCCCCAGAGCCCGCCTCCGCCGCCTCAGCCCTGGGTCCCCCGGAGCCCCTCCCCCGCCTCAGCCCTGGGTCCCCCGGAGCCCCTCCCCCGCCTCAGCCCTGGGTCCCCCGGAGCCCCTCCACCGCCCAGCCAGAGCCTCCCTGGACCTCCGCTGCCCCCCCCCCCCCCCCCCCCCGCTCAGGCTGGCTGCGCAGGTGCGGGCACAGAGCCCTGGGTGGGGCAGGTCCCGGCGTGGGATGGGGCAGGGGTGCAGCTGCGGGGGGCCGTGCCAGAGCCCTCCCTGCACCCCTGCCAGCTCCACAGCTCGTGGACCTGTCACATGCCCCCCCACCCCCCATGCTGGCCCCCTCTCCGTCCCTCCCCCTCCCTCCGTCCTTCCGCTGACACTTGCCGCTGCCTCCTCTGGGCTGGGGGACCCGCCGCCTCCCCAGAGGCAACTGAGAACTCCAGCACCCCCGCCCCTTCCCCTCTGGAGAAGGGAGAAGCAGGGGCCCGGGGCCCCCTCCGCCGGCCCCTTTAAGAGCGGCCTCCGCCCGCGCGTGCCGTCGATCGGGTGACTGGGCAGGCGGCCTGGACGGCGGAGCCGGGCGGCCAAAGTGAGCGGGCACGGGGGGGGGGGGGAGTAGGGAAGTCACCCCCGTCGGGGTCACAGCAATAGGGCGCCCCAAGCAGCGAAAGGGGGGCTCCCAGTCCAAGCGAAGGCCCGGGCAGCGCGGCAGGCAGAGGGGCAGCTGGTAGGGTCACCCGGGGAGGGAGTCTTCACCTGACCTTCCACAGCTGGGCGTGGGGGGGGGCGCTCAGCTGGCCCTCGGGACCAGTCCCTGTCCTCTCCACGTGGGCCGGGACCTGCCACCTGCTGGCGTGGTTGCCATGGCAGCGGGGGGCGGGGGAGGGCCAGAGAGGAAGTGTGGGTCTCACTCTGCACCGGGTCTGGGCCCTGCCCCCGCCGCCCGGGCCTGAGGGTGCGGCCTCCGGGTTCGGGGTCCCTCACCCTGCTGGGAGCTGAGGGCGCCGGGAGGTGGGGGGGAAGCTCTGGGTCTGTCTTCTAGGCTGAAATGGTGGGGGGGGGACTGCCCAGCGCCCAGCAAGGTCCCCAACGGGGTGTTGGTCCCAGGGGCCTCCAGGGGATTGGGCCTGAAGCTGGGTCTGGGGGACACCCTCTCTGGAGGCTGAATGTGGACAACAGGGAGTGGGGACCTCAGGCCCAGCTGGGGGGACACTCCAGGGCCCCCCCCAGGCATCCTCTTGGAATGGCCTCAGGGTCAGCGAGGGAGGCCGTGGCTCGACGGCCCTGGAGCAGCCGAGTCTGCCAGCCAGAGCGGGTCACGGCCCTTTCCTGAGCCTCAGGCCTGGTGCGCTTGCTGCCCAGCTGGCCGGCTGGCAGGGGAGGGGAGGTCAGTGGGGGGAGGAGGGGTCAGGAGGGACACACCCTGGGTGACCTGGGCTTCCGGGATGCACCTCGCCTCCGCCAGGCTCTGCCTCTGCGCCCCGGGCCTGGCCGCCCCCCAAGCCAGGCAAACAGAATTCCTTGGCTGCTTACAGTGTTCCACCCAAACTGCCCAGACCAGCGAGTGCCTGAGGCCCCACCCGCACCGCTGCCCCTTCCTGCCCCCACGGCTCGGGTCTTCAGGCCCAGCCCCGGGGTCCTCGTGAGAAATGGGGCCAGGCCCCCCACTCCCGTCTTCCCAAAGCCCGGGGCTCAATGCCGCCACCGGGCTGGGCCGCCCCTGCGCCCCGAGACCCGGCCTCGCCCCCTTCCTGCAGACAGCCCGTGTGCCCCGGGCCCTGCAGGAGGGCGACCCCAGGACGGGGGCCCAGGCTGTCCCAGGCCCCACGGGTGTCCTTCCTGGGCAGGGCCTCCGGCAGAAGGTCAGGCGAGGTCACCGGGCTCTGGGATCGGGCAGCCGGGCTGGGTCCCCACATCATGGGACGGACCAGCACGGAGGCAGCTGACGGCCCTGCCCCTGCCTGCACCCTGCCCTGGGCCACCCCTGCAGCCCTGCCCTGGGCCACGCCGGCTCCGGGCCTCCACCCTCTGCCAGGGCCTCCGTGGGCATGGGCCTCCTGGTGCTTGGTGCCGCCTGTGCGGGGCACCGGCTGCCAGGCTGCCCTTTTTCCTCCTGGAAATGCCTGGTTGGCTGAGCCAAGCCCAGCACCTGCGGCTGCCACCCCCGCCCCCCCCGGCCTGCTGGGCCTGCCCCCGGCCTCTGGGCGCTGGGCTGGGGTCAGATTCCCTCCGGCCCGCCGGGCGGGCCCCTGGCCGCACTCACACCTGCTTTAGCCATCAGCTGCGGCTCCGCGTGCCCTCTGTCACGTGGGCACTGGGATGCGCTCCCTGGGGACTGGGGATGGGGGGGCGCCTAAGTCCCCGGACACGCCGCCACCCCAGCCCCCCCAGCCTGGCGCCAGGCTCCCCGGGCCCTGGCCCACCTTTCTGGAAAGATCAGCTCCTCCCCTCCTCGCCCGGCGCCCTGTCCTCCGGAGGGCCATGTCAGAGCTGAGGTGGAGGGCGGGGGCGGGGCCGCAGGAACCCTCCCCTCCCGCGCCGCCCTGCCCCCACCGCTCCGCCCCCCTCCGCCTCCCGCACATTCCTCCCTGGCTGAGGTCAGCCCCTCCGGGATGGCCCCCCCTGCCCAGCCACATCCCAGCTCTCCACTCACTCCTGTTTTCCCCATCGCCGGCGAGGGGCCCGGGTGGGGCTCCCCACTCCCTCCTCCTCCACAGCCTGGGGGGGGGGGGAGCGGGGAGGGCTGCCAGGAACGCGCCCGGTGGACACTCATCAGCATGATTAACACTTCCTGCCTCCCCGGAGGGCTGTTGGGGGGCTCCAGAGGCTCTGGAGGGTTAGGGGGGCAGGGAGCGACCCCTAGGAGCCGGCTGACACCCCCGCGCCCAGGCTGTGCGTCCCCCCGGAAGTGGAACCTCTCAGATGCTCCCCTCAACCCTTCACCAGTCCTGCGGCTGTAAGGGGGGGCTGGCAGGGTGGCACCCGGGCATCCTGCAGCACCCAGACCCGGGCCTCCAGGAGACCCTTCCCTTCATCCCCCTTCCCCGTCCTGCCCTTCTGCCACCACCCCCACTCTCTACCCGCCCCCAGCACACCGACATCCCTGACCCTCCCCAACCTCCTCCCCTCCTCCCTGGGGCTCCTCCGTCTTCCCGCTCCACATGCCACCCCAGCGTGCCCCCCGCGCCCCCCTCCCCCCGCTCTGGAAGGCCCTTCAGTCTCACTGGGGTCAGGCCCCGCCTCCTCCCTGCAGCCTCAGCCTGACCCCTTCGCCCGCCCCAGGCTGTGTCCGGGTCTTTCTGCCACTCTCCCTCCCCTGCCCCCCCCATGGCCTCCCGTCCTCGCCCCGCCACCCCCCGACTCAGGCTTCGTGCGGCCTGGGGGGCCCAGGCTGGAGCCTGGCGTTCTCACCACCTGCCTGCCCGGCCCTTCCACCTGCCCGCGCCCCAGCCTCCCCGCTGCCAGGGGCAGCAGCTCCTTCCCGGCCAGGATTTCCGGGCCCGGCTGTGCCTCCTGCGCCAGCCTGCCCCTCAGCACCTGCTGCCTCCGTCCCCTCCGCTCCCCTCGCCGCCCTGACGCCTGAGCGGGAAGCTGCCGAGCTCTGGGTTCCGCAGCTGCCATCACGGGCCCCAGGCCGCAGAGCCAGGCCCAGGAGGCCGGCCGGAGCCCTCCGCCTCCTGGCCGGCTGAGCCCACGGCGAGGGGGCCTAATGGAGAAGGGACACCTCCTGTCCTTCGCCCTGCACCCTCCTCCCCTCAGCATGGTCGGAAGCAGAGTCACAGCTTCCCGTCGACGGCAAACTGATTTTCTAACCGAGATCACCTGTGGCTGCAGCGCCAGCAGGGGCCAGCCGGCATGGGGAGAAAGGCGTCCAGGCCCTGCCCCCGGCCCGTGCCCATCACCGGGGGACGGACTGAGGAGCCCAGTAGCTGGTGGGCATGGACACACACATCCCACTGGTTGGAGGTCCCCTGGGTGTGTGGGAGCTGGCATCCCGAGCGGCTGGGGGGAGGCAGGGACCAGGGAGGAGGCCCTGGAGTGGCTTTGGGGGGAGAGGCCGGATGGGGCAGCAGTCTGGGAGGGGCCTGGGCCGGAGCTCAGGCGACAGACACTGCAGCCCTGCCCCGACCCTCTCCCCAGGCCGAGTGGCTGCAGGCCAGGTGTGGCTTGACGCCTCCAGCCTTGGGGCGGGCGAGGCGCCCTGGGTGGGGAGAGGGGCTGCTCGGAGAGGCTTCAGAATGAGCCACCACCACAGGGCGGCCCGGGACGGGGTCAGGGCCTCCTCCAGGCCTCGCAGCCCCTGCAGCCTCAGAGCCAGTCCTAACGAGCCCCTCCCGTCCTGCAGCCCGAAGCACCTGCTGGGGCGGGGTGTGGGCCAGGGGAGCTGGGCCCGAAGCACCTGCTGGGGCAGGGTGTGGGCCAGGGGAGCTGGGCGTGGCTGCCCTCTGCCTTTCGGCCTCCGACTGGGAGCCTGTCTGTCTTCCAGCTGACCCTCTGGCCAGGGGGCTGAGGATAAAGGCCCAGCAGAGCCCCAGCCTTGGGGCTGGCGAGGCGCCCTGGAGTGTCCGAGGAGCGGCCTCTGGAAGGTGGGTCCGCCTTGGGGAGTCTCTCTGGTGGGCGTCAGCCCTGCCCCCCCTCCCCGCACACTGGGACCCGCGCTGGTCTGGGAGCAGGGCCGGGGTCCCTGCCTGGCCCTGCCCGCTGAAGGTGCCCAGGCGCCCAGGAGGAGGGGCCTCCTGGGCTGGGACAGCTCCGGGGGCACTGAATCAGCCCCCCCCCACAGCTGCTCCCAGGGACCGGATGGCCACGGGCAGTGGGGATCCCCAGGAGGCGGCCTCACGGACTCCCTCCTGTTGGGGTACCGGCACCTGCGATGCCCCCAGCCTGCCACCTCCACGGCTGGGAATTTCCCAACTGCCAGGGACAGGGCGGCATTGAGGCCGCCCCCGCCAGCGCCGGGACAATGGGGCCTTGTGCCCCAGAAGCCGGAGCAGCGGCAGGAAGGCCACGGGCAGGTGGGGGGAGTGGTCTGCACCCCGGGAGGCCCCGCTTGCCAGGACCCCACCCAGGACCACGGCCGCAGGACAAGGGGATGTTGGCCAGACCCTGCGTGTCCCACCCGGGGAGGGCGCGCCCGGCAGACAATGCCGCCCTCAATGGCCCCTCTGTGCCGGGCCGGAGGGGAGAGAGGAACCGGCTCCTGGGCCGCTTCCTGCTGGCAGGCCTCTGCGGGGCCCGGCCCGGCCTGGCCGCGGGGGCGGGCCTGCTCCTGTGTCAGCCCCAGCCCGCAGGCAGGGGCAGCAGGAAAGGCCCGGGGACGGCGGGGCGGCCGGGGCGCGTGCGGCTCCTTCCGACGGGGCGGGCGGGCGGGCGGCTGCAGCCTCTCCTGTCCCGCCAGCATCGGGGGGCCCAGCCCTGCTTGGGGCGCCGGCAGGTGTGCGGAGGCGGGCCCGGCCCCACCCTCCCCCCTCCCCGCCCTCCCGCCTCCACGGCGCCGACCCCGACCCCGACCCGGGCGCTTTGTCCCGCGCCGAGCCCGAGCCCCGCGGCCCACAAAGCGCCTTTGTGCCCGCGGCCTCCGCGGGACCCCGTGACGTCACCGGGCCGGCGCGCGGCGAGCGCGGGCGGCGGCGCCCTCTGGCGGCCGCGGGCAGAAGCGCGCTCCCCTCCCTCCCGCCCCGCCCCGCCCCGCGGGCCGCTTCCGGGCAGGCGGGCTGCGGGTCCTGCAGAGCTGGCCTGGCCGCCCCAGGCCCCGCGGCCATCAGCCAGTTCCCTTCTGCGGCAACGGGGGACCCTCCTGGAGCCCGGGTCCCAGCGTAGGGAAGGGTGGCCACCTGCCCACATCAGGTTTGCAGGGGCACCTCTGGGCACAGGCCCCCACTGTCCCCAACTTTGTCCAGTCAAGCCCGCGGCGCCTCAGTTCTAGGCAGGGCACAGGGCAACACGTCCGATGGGCGATGTGGGGGCAGGAGGGTGTGGCCAGCCTGGCCCGTGATCATAGCACCTGGGCCCTGGGCCTGGGAGCCTAGTCCTGACTCCCCTGCCCCTCTCCGCTCCTGTCCTTGGAAATGTGCCCCCTGGCACTCCATGCTGGTCCCGCCCCAGGAGCCGAGGTGCTGGGGGAGAGGGGCGACATACGGAGTGCCAGTCTTGGGCCTGACCCGGCAGCCCAGCGCCCAGGGCCGCAGCTGTGAGGCTGAGGGTGAGGGCCCACACCACCATCGCCGTAGCACGCGGCCTGCCTTGCCCCCCAGAAAGAAGGCAGCAGAGCAGTCCTGGGTGTTTTTCTTTCTACATTTTATTATTTCAAACCCGGTGGACAATTCCATAAAACGTGAAAAAAGCAAGGAAGTGTTCAAGGCTGCAGGCCCCGACCTGGGGGAGGGCAGAGGCGGGCCCCGCAGGCAGCGCGGGTCCTCGGTGAGCCGAGGGCTACAGGGCGGTTAGTGGGGCCCCAGCAGCCGTGGCCGGTGCGGGCGGGCCGCCAGGGGCAGCCAGCAGAGCGGGTGTAAACACACAGACACACTCAAGGCACGGAGTTGCTCCAATGGGGCTGGGGAGCTGGTCAGGACCAGACAGTTTTAAATAGTTTTTCCTCTAAAAAGTTTTCTAAGTTTGAGATTTTTTTTTTTTCCTTTCCATTTTTTAAAAAGCGACGAGGATGAGCGGGTGGCCTGTGTCTCGGTGGGGAATGGTGGCATCACGCTGCTTGTGCTTTTCCTTTGGGGCCTCCTCTCGGGGGCGGGGGTGGGGGCAGGAGGCTCCTGTAAACATCTGGCCTTGGGCGGGCCAGGGGCTGGGCTGGGTGACGCGGGTCCCAGGCTGGCTGTGCCCCCTCCTCCCCCACAGGACAGACCAGAGCTACACCCGGCATGATGCCCAGGAGGGGGCGCCCAGCTGTTCCCAGCACGGGGACAAGGGCAGGCTCCCGACGGGAAGCCTGTGGCACCCCCTTCCCCAGGTCCCGGGAGCGGAGGGAGGCGACAGAGGAGCCAAGAACAGAGGGGGAAGCGGTGGGGAGGGCGGTGGGGGGGCGTGGTCCTCGTGCCCCCATCTTCCTCAGGAACTGGGGCAGCGGATTCGGCGTCGGCAGCCCTGCGGGTGGGGGAGGGCCTGGTCAGGAGGCAGACAATGACCACTCCTTTCCCGCCGCTGTTACCAGAACACCCGGCCGCCCAGAAGCCAGTGCCTGCTGCTGGTTCCTTGCGGGCGGGGGTCCGAGGCTGGCAGTCTTCCCGCCGCCCCAGGCCCAGGGGAGCCTGCCCACTCAGGCCCTCAGAGACCCTCAAGGTGGGAAGCAGAGAGGGAGGAGCAGAGCCACTCACACTGAGTGGCAGGTGGTGAGCGAGTGAGTGCTCTCCAAGGAAGGGAGCCTCTGGTTCTGTCCCAGCACACGGCCAGGCGCCTCTGTGCGGGGGCCACCGGCAGCAGAGCCCAGCCTGCCCATGCCACCTCCTGGGGCCAGGCACCGGGGGCCCTCCTGACCCACCAGCCTGCGCCCCTCGTCCTCTGCTCCCTCTGGGCAGCCCCTGGACCCCTGCGTCCTACTCTGGGCCAGTGGCCCTGCTCAGTCCCTCTCCAGCTCCCTGCCTGGCCCAGCCCTGTCCTACCAACTCCATGCCTGGCCCCCCAGCTCCCTCCCTGGCCCCTGGCTGCCTGCTTGGCTCCCCCCCCCAGCTCCCTCCCTGGCCCCCAGCCGCCTGCTTGGCTCCCCCCCCAGCTCCCTACCTGGCCCCCCAGTTCCCTGCCTGGCCTCCAGCTCCCTGCCTGGCCCGTGGCTCCCAGCCTGGCCCCCCAGCCGCCTGCCTGGCCCCCAGCCGCCTGCCTGGCTCCCCCCCAGCTCCCTGCCTGGCCCGCGGCTCCCTGCCTGGCCCGGGCTCACCGTCCGGCCAGGCGGCCGCCCTCAGAAGAGGCCGCAGTCCTTCAGGTTGTTCTTGATGATGACGTCGGTGACGGCGTCGAAGACGAACTGCACGTTCTTGGTGTCGGTGGCGCAGGTGAAGTGCGTGTAGATCTCCTTGGTGTCCTTGCGCTTGTTCAGGTCCTCGAACTTGCTCTGGATGTAGCCGGCCGCCTCCTCGTACTTGTTGGCCCCTGAGGAGGTGGAGCGGTGAGACGGCTGTGTGCGCCCACGGCAGACGGGCGCGCGTGTGCACGGGAGTGTGTGGGCGCAGACACGTCTGTGCGCACGGGGAGGCCCACGGGCACACGCAGGGTCCGCCCCAGGGTGGGGAGAAGGCCCATCTGCTGACACAGGTACCCAAGTCCCAAAGCACCGCCAGACCAAGGGCCCCGCAGTGACCCTCCTGCCCAGCAGGGGGTGCTGCGAGCCGGCGGCCCCCAGGCCCCTGAGGCCAGCCCACCTGTGTACTCGGGGAAGCAGATGGTCAGGGGGCTGTGCGTGATCTTCTCCTCGAACAGGTCCTTCTTGTTGAGGAAGAGGATGATGGACGTGTCCGTGAACCACTTGTTGTTGCAGATGCTGTCGAACAGCTTCATGCTCTCGTGCATGCGGTTCTGGGGGTGGGACGGCGCGGTCAGCACCCCCCTCACACACACCCACCCCCACACCCCCTCCCCGCGCCGCCTCGGGCTCACCATCTCCTCGTCCTCCGCCAGCACCAGGTCGTAGGCGCTCAGGGCCACGCAGAAGATGATGGCTGTCACGCCCTCGAAGCAGTGGATCCACTTCTTGCGCTCCGACCGCTGGCCGCCCACGTCGAACATCCTGCGGACACAGGCCCCTCAGCTCCGGGGGCGGGGGCGGGGGCTTCCGGGAGGGTCCCCGCACCTCTCCCAGGTCGGCCACTGAGGACAGGGCCGCTCGGGCCGGCGGCCACCCGCCCGGACTCCACTCTTGTTCCCTTCCCCCCCTCCGGGCCAGGGAGGGTGTGGCCCGCAGGCTGGGGGCTGTCGGCCGGGCAGGTGAGAGTGGGGCTGGGGGTGCAGGAGCAGCCCCCGGGGAGGCCCCTCTCGCTCCCCGGCCCTGCCCGCCCGCCCGCCTGCCCGGCCGCCCGCCCGCTCACTTGAAGTGCAGGTCCTTGAAGGTGAAGTGGGTCTCCACGATGCCGGTGGTCTTCACGCGGGTGCGCAGCACGTCCTGCTGGGTGGGGATGTAGTCGCTCTGGGCGATGCGCTCCAGGTCATTCAGGTAGCTGGAAGGGGGGGGGGCGTCAGGGGGCAGCAGGGGCCTCCTGACCTGCAGGCACCGCGGGACCGGAACCCCTGGCTCCCCCTGCCGGTCAGGCCCGAGGGCAGCTGGGGGCCTGTGGCCGGCCCCGCCTGCACCAGCCTGAGCCAGGCCTGCCTCAGGGGGGCCGGGATGGCGTGCAGGGGAGGGGCGGGAGAGGGCAGATCAGCTCTCCGGGGGGGGGCTCGGGATGCCAATCTGCAGTTATGGCGTCAGCCGTAGAGCCTGGCGTGTCCTTGGATGCGGGGCTGGAGGGTTGGGCAGCTGGGCTGCCAGGCCGGGGGGCTCTTGCCCAGCACCCACTGCCTGGGCTCCTCAGGGGAGGGCACCACAGGGGCGTCATGTGCCAGCTCCCTTATTAGTCCCCTGTCAGCACCAGCCGTCCAGCCAGGCCCTGGCCAGCCTGCTGCCGGCCTGTGTCCTGCGTGTCCGGGGCTGGGCCAGGCTGCCCGGTGCCCCTGGGGGCAGGGCCGCCGGGCCGGCCCTGGGTTCCCACCAGCGGCCCGGCCAGAGGGAAATGACCTCAGAGACACAGACAGAACAGAAAAACAGGAAGAGCCGTGGGGACCGTGACGCATGTGCTGTAACCTCCACACCAGGCCCCGCCCCCAGCGCCTCCGGTCTGGGCCCCTGGCGGCTCCACAGCAGTCTCCCCCTTCTCAACGGGGGGCTCACCCCGGGACCCGCTGCCGAGGGCGGCCTGGAGGACGGCTGAGGAGAGGGGATGTCCCAGCCCCCCCACCTGCAGTGAAGGCGTAAACCTGCCCGGAGAGTGGACGCGTCCACTGCCCAATCCCCACTCAGCACAGCCGGCACCCAGCGGGCGCTGAGGGGAGGAGAAGGAAACGGGTGGTGGGGGGGGAAGGGGCCCGCCCTCCCTGAGGCCTGGGCACTGAGTGGCGATGACTGACAGGCCCACAGCTCTGCTGGTGCTGAGCCTGTGACTGTGGAGGGCAGGGCAGAGGCCTGAGGCCCGTGTCTGGAGAGACTGTGCAGCATGCTGGGGGAGGGGGGGTGGGGGTGCGCTTTCAGGGGTTCAGGCCTCTGCGAGGAGGGGGCTGTCCACATAACGGCCAGGGCTCGGGAGTCACACAGCCAGTGGGCATGCCGCCCACCGCTCCTGCCCGCGGACGGGCCTGGGCTGGGTGGGCATCGGGGCGTGGTACGTACAGGCCGGGAGGAGGCGAGTACCGGGTCTGGGCCTATCTGGGGGCACCGTCCAGGGCCCATGGGTGTCGCCCAAGGCCCTGCCGCCTCAGCACTGGCCGCCGGCCTGTCTGTCCTCCCCGCGGGCACCCGGCGCCTGCGCCAGGCGTGGCACGTGGCAGGTCCTCCAGGAAAGGCGGCGAGGGTGGCGTCCTGCGGCCGGGCCTCGGGGCTCCCGGCGGGTCCTGAGCTCCACCCACACGTGTCAGGGCCAGACCGTGCCTCCCTCCGTGTCTCGCGCCCGAACTTCCCGTGACCGCAGGCCCCGTCAGCACTTTACCCGGGAGCTGGCACAGGCTGTGCCCTGCCTGTGGGCTCTGCCCAGCCCCCTCCAGGGCAGACTCCCCGGAGGCACCCCTCGGCTGGCCCTGCCCCGGCGGCCGCTCCGCAGATCCCTGTGGCGTCGCTGCTCCGGGCTTGTCTGCTCCACCGCCCTGGTCCCCGAGGCCCTGCGCAGGCCCGGCCCTGGCCCAGAGCGGGCGGCAGCAGACGCTTCTCTGGAACGACGGCGCCGCAGGGGACGGCTCTGTAAGCCCATCCTGGCCTCCTCCCGGCCTCCACACACCGACCTCCCGCCCCGCCAGCCCCGAAAGCTGACGTCCCAGCTGCAGGCGCAGCAGCCCGCCGGAACCTCCGTCTGCCCGCCCGCCCGCCCCGTCCGTCTGTCCGCCCGCCCGCCTGTCCGCCCGCCCCGCCCGCCCGCCCCGTCCGTCTGTCCGCCCGCCCGCCTGTCCGCCCGCCCCGCCCGCCCGCCCCGTCCGTCTGTCCGCCCGCCTGCCTGTCCGCCCGCCCCGTCCGCCCGCCCCGTCCGTCTGTCCGCCCGCCCCACCCGTCCGCACTCACTAGGCTGCGGAGTCGTTGAGCTGGTACTCGCGGGCGCGGCTGAAGCAGGCCTGCACGCCGTGGTCGGCCCAGAGCCGCCGGATGACGCCGGACAGGTCCTCGGGGAGCAGGCCCTGCTCCTCGGCCGAGCAGGACAGCGCGAACAGCTGCCGGGCGTCGTCCTGGGGGCGGGGCAGCGGTTGGAGGGCAGGAGCCCGGGATCGGGACCCCCAGGTCCCTAGGCCGTGATGGGCCTGGTGGAGGGGCGGGGGGGGGGGGGGGCACGTACCGCACGGGAGGGGTCGGCGAAGTCGATCTGCAGGTTGCCCATGGCCTTGACGATGGCCATGATGGACTGGATGGTGTTGCTGTAGACGACCGCCCGGTACTGCCGGCATTCCTCCTCGGAGTAGCCGTCCTCGTGGATGATCCTGCACCGGGGGCGGGCCAATGGTCACCGGGGGCGGGCCAATGGTCACCGGGGGCGGGCCAATGGTCACCGGGGACGGGCCAATGGTCACCGGGGGCGGGCCAATGGTCACCGGGGGCGGGCCAATGGTCACCGGGGGCGGGTCAATGGTCACCGGGGGGCGGGCCAATGGTCACCGGGGGCAGGTCAATGGTCACTGGGGGGCGGGCCAATGGTCACCGGGGGCGGGCCAATGGTCACCGGGGGCGGGCCGCAGGGACCCACTCCCGAGGGGGCGGGCTGCCCCACCCCCGGGGCCTGAGGTCGGGCGGCCGGCCCAGGAGAGGGGAGACTGAGGCTGGGAGGCCCCTCCGCACTCGGCACTCACTTCATCTGCTTGACGATGGTGCTCTTCCCCGACTCCCCGGCACCTGGAACGGAGGGCAGAGGGCGCGGGTCAGGGGGCAGCCTGGGCTCCACGGCCCCGAGGGCCCAGCCGCCTGCAGCCCTGGAGCCGCGCTCACCCCCCCACCAACTGCACGGGGAGGTGGGGGCTGGGGGGGATGGAGAAGGAGGAGGAGGGGGAGATGGAGGCAGGGGGGCTGCAGCTGGCGGGGTTGTGTAGTCTAAGCAACCGAGACACTGGCGCCCTATCGTGGCCTCTCCCCAGACGTGGCCTCCGCAGCTCCACAGCCCGCCGTGCTCCCTGCAGCCTGCAGGAGGCGCCCTGCCGTCGCTCTGGCAGGAAGGCGCCCGCGCTCCAGCAGGGCAGTGGCCTCCGCCCACACCCGGCGTAGCTGCCAAGGGCAGGGATGGCACAGCGTCATGCTCTTGTCTCCAGACCTGGCCCAGGTCTGCCCTGAGCAGACGGAGCCGGCGGGGGCCAGGCCGTGTAACACGCAGGCACGCTGTGCTCTCACTGCTCCCTGGCCTGGCAGGCCCACCCGACCCCCCGTGGCCAGGGGGAGGGGGGCCGCTGGCAGCCTCCCGGGCGGACACAGTACCCAGACAGCGCTCCCTCCCACTCCCCAGAGGAGGACGATACGGCTCAGACAAGTGAAGTCTGGTCCCAGGAGCAGGAAGCAGAGGCCCGGCCCTCCTCCAATGAGGGCCCAGGCCGGGGGACGATGCTGGGAGTTACAACAGCAGACTCCGCGGTGCCCTCCCACACAGCCAGGTCCACAGGGAAGGGTGCCCGCAGGGGGTGGAGGGGCGGGGACAGGGCCTCCCCTCTCCCTGCTCCCCCCCAGCTCCAGGCGAAGGCACCTCGGCTGGGCCCAGCTCACCCTCCCAGCCGATGCCCAGTGTGGCTACCCCGGCCCCATTGCTGCCCATCACAGCGGCACGTGCCCGGCACTGCCTCTCCCACCCCGGCCCTGGCCCGCGGAGTCCTCCTTGCCGGGCGCCCCTGCCCTGCGCCCACCGCCACGCCCCACCCTCCTGACCATGGCTGGTGGCAGGTCTGTGCCGCTGAGCAGCGCAGGGGGAGTGGGTAGGCCCCGCGGGGGGACTCTGGCCCTGGGTCGGTGAAGACGCCTCAGAGGACGGAGTGGCGACACGCAAACTAACGGAGCGACAAGAATAACAGCGCTAGCCTGGCCAGGGGGCTCAGGGGCTGAGCGCCAGCCTAGGAACCAGGGGGTCAGGTTGGATTCCCGGCCAAGGTCGCCTGCCCGGGTGGCGGGCTCGGTCCCCAGTGGGGGGCGTGCAGGAGGCAGCCGATCCATGATTCTCTCTCCTCATGGATGTTTCTCTCTCCCCCTCTTCCTTCCTCTCCGAAATCAATAAAACAGATAGAGAGTGACAGCAATGATGACCTCAGCAAAGCACGGAGAGCGCCCGCTGCGGCAGAGGCTGCTCCAGGCCCGTCCCGCCCGCTAAGGAACCACCTGCTCCGCCCTCAGCCCGCCTGACCGGGAGGGAGCTGGGCTGCCGTACAGGGCGCAGCCCGTGTGGCGGGACCACGGTCACGCCCACAGCCGCCCCCCTGCGCCCAGCGCGCACACGGCCAGGATGTAACCCGGGTGTGTTCCCAACCCAGGGAACCCCAAGAAGGTCTGGGCTCCCCTCACAGGCGCCACCCTCTGCCTGGCATCACGGGCAGAGGAGCACGGGGAGTGGCGTGTGGGGGGCAGTGAGGCCCTCAATGGGGTCAGTCCCTCGGAGCAGCCAGCACCCGCCGCCCTTGCCCACCTGCTGACTGACCGCCTGTGACCGCCTGAGCGCCCCTCCGGCCGGGCTTCCCCCCGGGGCAGGCGGGAGGGCCGGAGTCTCGGAGGCGGAGTCTCAGTCAGGGTCAGGGTCAGGGTCAGGCAGCGGAGGCCCAGGATGTGCGGCGACCGGTCAGATCCACACGCCATCCCCACCCGGGCGACCGGACACCAGAGCGACAGCTCTCCCGCTCAGGGGCTGAGGTCAGGGGGAGGTCGTCACTTCTGGTGTAGCTGCAGCCCGTCCGCCTGCGTCACAGGGTCCCCCTGGCCGGCGAACCACTCTTGGTAAACGGTGTGGGCAAGGCAGGGACCTGG